CAGGAATGCAGACTTTCCAGAGAACTTGAGATTAGTTTTTTTCCTATCTGATACCTTTGGTTTTGCCACTTCAACTCAGTGAAGTATCACAGTGATTTACTTTCTGCTTTCTGTGCTGTCATCATGGAAATACAAATTACTGCACAGCAGGCCAGACATTGGAGAAAGCAGGTACTTTGGTACAAGGTTTCCAGCCTGAGTTCTAGCCTGAAGAGTTAGATGAGCATCCAAATCTCTGCATCCTTTGAAGTTCATCCTGAGTCTGAATAATTCTGAACTCAGCATAAGTTCATGTCCGGGTTGAGTTTCTAATAACTGAGGGACAGCCAGGAGTTCTGAAAAGCATTTCATTAATTACTTCAAAGCAAAGCGGAGTCAACATGAGACCACTTGATTTTCACATGAAAACCTCCCACCCCCACCCGCCTCCACCATTTTGCTCTGAATAGGAAAAAACAGCACAACACATTTGCAGCCTGCAGGGCTTTATTGCCTCTCACTACTTCTACAGCTCCAGACTCCCTTCTCAAGCCAGTGTTTTGAGCAATATGGGAAGCACTTATGTCAATGGAGACAGAGCTTTGTGGTGTGCTACTCGTGAACTTCAAAGCATCCAAGGAGAAATGTCATCTGCTGTCCCCCAGCTTTTTGGACGTAGGTGTTCTTTGAGAAATACTGCTACTAATGACTGTTGCGTAGTGCTTGTACAGATTTGGTAAATATATTACATCCTGGTAAAATGAAACAGTTGTCCACTTCATTTTTCAAGTTCTTACAGCACCACCCATGGGTGGTGGGTGACCCAATTGTTATTGAGCAAGTGAATATGACAGAAGAGGAAGCTTTTTCATCACTGAGACAAACCTTCAGGTTCCCTCGACCTGCCCTCCTTGCCTTCTAGGTGAATTAGCACCCTGTGTGTCTGTGAGTCTGAAGGCAAGAGAGCAGAGCACTTGCCACCAGTGAAGGCTGTGCTGATGACTTGGGCTTAAACCAGAGAGATGCGGTTTCCTCTGAGGGAGAAGGAGGGGGAAGTAGAGATGGAGGAGAGGGAACCAGAGTTTTGCATTATTCCTCTCAGGGTCGCGTTTCCCCCGTGTTGCACTTTGTCATTATCTGAATTGCTGGAGCATCCTGTCAAATCAGCCTCCTGCATAGATTTTTAAAACCTCTAATTGGCACCTGCAAGGTTACAAACTAGCAATGTGTCTCCATTTGCCCTCCACAGCCTTTCACAGCTCTTTCCCCCAGCTCCAAAGTGCTTGGAGTGCTGCACATCAGTAACATACTGAGGTATGAGGCAACCCAGGCTGTAGCTGGGACCCTGTGATGTGACCCAGTGTTTGTGTGACAGAGAAGGCTTCACTTTTTTCCTTTCTCTTTTAACTATTGTGCAAATGTTTCTCCATGTTTCTTGTTTGTCACAGACTCTGAGCCTCCCTAGACAGGCTATTCTGAGCTTGGCCTGCTTTCTGATAATTGCATCTGCATTAAAGCAAACACCCCTGCAGGGTTTCTCCATTCCCCTGTCCTTGCCAACTCTGAGCTGGACAGCACTCTGTGGCTTGCAAGCACAGGGATGCGCAAAAAAGGCATGCCAAGGTCTGGCAAAGCTCTGGGGAAGAAGGCAAAGCTGTGTGCTATTTCAGGCTTCTTATTTTTTGCCAGCGAGTTCAGATACTTCTCCTTTTCTAATGACGCAGTGGCTGATAGGTCCTTCCGAGCAATGCATCAGTAAAATCACTATTGAGATCTACAGTCTGTGTCCAACCCGTATCAATTACTGGCTTCTCTGTGGGGATATAAAAAACGAATAGGATCCGGGAGAGTCACCCGTTAGTAATGACTGCAGTAGTAATTTTGAGAAGGCGGTCCATTGCACGTTTTTGTGACCTGTTGTTTTTCTTCAGAAGGGAAAAGAGACAGGACAGCACTGTAAGATTTTTGAGGATGATCTTTTTCAGATTGATGTTTAGAGAGATGGGAATCTCTAGTTCTTGAAGTAATGCAGCCGTTAGCGGCTTGCTCCTCTACACAGGGCCAAGGCCCGGACTATGAGAAGTACAGTAGCGACACTTTTCCTTCATAAAGCCCCTTTTCACTGAAGGATTATACAAAGTCTTACTGAGATGAGTAGATTAGTTTTGTCCTTGCTTTGCAGCTAGAAGAGGTAGCAGACTGTAGAAAGGTGGCTGCTGCCTGCGCTGGAGTGGTGCAACACACCACTGAACTGAATACATTGCAGTGAAATGCTGCCAGGCACATCAAGCCGGATGCTTTCTGCATACCTGGGATTGAAATCAAGACCTCTGAAACTGTATTTCCTCTCAGGATTTAGTTCCCAGGAAGTTAAAAATATGCACAGAACCTGCCACACTCACACACTTAAAATGATGAAAGTAAAGTAACTCAGGTTATTTCTTTTTAATTGGTTTCTAACATAAATCTGTAGGTAGTAAGTACATACTTGCTTTCTGGCCTGATTTTCTCTTATCGAACATAGGTCATGCAGTGCTGTAGCTGAATCCCCTCCCTCTAATCACTGCCTCTTCTCTTGCTTTAGGACAGTAACCACGCAGGACCCTGACTGGATGCTGCCATCCATCACTCATTTGGTCTGAACGTACATTGCCACTGCACCTGCCAAGAGGTTTTTCAGAACTGAACCTCCAATGCAGTTAGCATTCATCTTTCACAGGCAGGGTATCCCCCAGGAGGGAGAATGGGGTTGGATGATCCATGCCATAGCTAATGCAATAGTCACATTCCCTATGAAATACCTGGTCTGCCCCATCCAAAGGGAACTTTGCTGGAGTTCCAGTTTCTGAGCAGCTGTGGTACATGATGCTGATCATGAACCTCACTACTATTGGAAGAGTGTTACGGGAGTGGGTGCTTCTTCTGTTTAGTTTTTCCTCATTCTTGAAGCAAATCCAACTTTACCAATTATAGCACTGAATAAGCCCTCTGCAAATATCAGTGCATGTCTTGTAAGATAAAAGAGTAACAGGTCTTTTCAAAGAGGAGACAAAAATGGAATAAACTAGATCTCCCCTTGTTTTTTGGGTGGAGTGGCCATACAGTTGAAATCTACTCAACTTTGGTTTCCTTTTTGTATAAGTGACTTTCATCTAAGTGCTGGTCATAGTAAGTTACATGTATAGAGGTGTCACCATCAAGTACTGTGTATCACTAAATTTGTAGCAGTTCTGGCAGTGCTGAACTGCATACGTACATGTTTACATGCATGGGCACATACGCACTTAATTCCATTAGAGCTTCCTGATACACTTTTCTCTTCCTCACTTCCCTGATGGAGCTATTTCCAGAGATCCCAAGTGTGGAAGTGGATCTCTCGTGACTTTTGATTCTGCAGAGAGGAATAAGTGTCTTTGAAAGACTAAGATTGAAACATGTACGAACCCTCTTTACTCCCTCTTGATATGCGAGGAAGGCCAAGGGTGATGTGGTGTGACAGCTGCTTTTGCTGGTTTTGTGTGGTGATGTACAAGAAGAGAGATCTGGGGTGATAACCAACATGCTGGAAAATCCTCTGCACAGTGCTGGAAAGCTACCACTTACTAATTTCCTGCCGAATATCCTACTGGCATTCAGGGAAAGTTGTCTGTGTTCAGGCTTAGCAGAGGATGATGATACCTCAGGAAATTAAAAGACATCAAGAACTCAAAGGTATACTGGGGCGAGTTCCTAGTTACGCATCTGATCGCTTCAGGGGAGATGTTTAGGGATGGTTTTACAGTTTCTTCATGTTTTGTTTTTTAGCGTAGCAGCTGCAGGACAATCATTTATTTGAAGGACTGGAAAATAACCTACCTAGTTGTCCTTGTTTGCTTCTTTAGGTCTTTTTCCTGCCTTTGTGGATTCCTGGAAATTTGTCATGCCCGACTGTGCAATGCTTGGACTGCGTCTTCTTGCAGAGTTTATTTCAGTAATCTACAGTCTCCACAGTGCTACATTAATTCCCTTTGAGTTAGCCTAGGTCAAATCAGAGCAGTTAGTGTGGCTATGAGCAGCACAGAGCAATTTTACTAGCAACTGAAGAATTGCACTGACTCCATCTCTAATGAATACCCTTAGTAAATTCAAGTTAAAAGCACCGCAGCAGTCATGATAAGAATTTTGGGTGAGACCAGGGCTTGCACTAATTAGACTTAGTCACAACTTGTTAACTCCATGTTGAAGACACGCTCTTAGAAGTAGCCATGCTCGGACAGATTGAGAATTGAAAGAAAGCACAGTCTTATGCTTAAGGCTGTGAACACTACATCTCCAGTAATCGGGTTTAATTTCTTGTTGTGCCTTGTACTTCTTATGACACTTCTTATGTCACTTCTTATATTTCTTTCCCTTTCTGTGCCTCAGTTCTGCAGCTATAAAATCACATTGCTGTCTGTCTTCCCCTCTTTGTCTCCCCTCCATACACTGCAAGTTCTTCAGGATGGGGATTTTCTAATATTAATTGAGTATGCAACATGTAGTGCAGCATGGCTCCCTGCCTGTGGGAGGTCAGGAAAGCCCTAAGTGACACCTTAGAGTTTCTGTACTTTGAGGATATGTCATTGGCTTTGGATTGTCAGGCAGGAACAGCCTTGAATGCTCATATAACTCCTGCAGCTAATTCCCTTTGGTAGATTTGGTACTTTTCTTTCAGCCTTGAAATTTTGCTAGTTTTTTGTTCTGCAGGGCAGGGAGTGCTGAGGCTGAATAAATTCCATTTTTCTCAAATTACATGAGTGCTAAATATGATACATTGTTATAAGTTGCCGTATCCTCTGCATATAAAGCGGAGTGGAAAATGGATAAATGGGATGAAAATGTGTGACGATATCTAATGTATTCTAAGATTGAGCTTCTAATCTTCTCTTTCTTTTTGTTTCTTCCAGGTGGAGCGGGAAATAGCCATCCTGAAGTTGATAGAACATCCCCATGTTTTAAAGCTGCATGATGTTTACGAAAATAAAAAATATTTGTAGGTATTACTGGCTTTTGCCGGAGGAAGGAAGGGAGGGAGGGAGAGGGGGGTTTTGGAACTTGGTAACATTTCTGAAAGAATGGAGCAGGGTATGTTTTCACCCTCAGCTGCTGTCTGTGTGATATCTGGTACTTGGATGAGGAAGGAACACTCCTTATTTCCTTGGCTTTTCTCATTTTCTTTTCTATACTTTACTTATCTGCTGTTTCTTTTCCTACTTAAAATGGAGGAGAGAGAACAAATGAACGGTTTCTGTCAAACAGCAAGAGGGGAGGAAGGTTTGTACCTGTAATATCTGGAACCATTTTGAATCAAAACTGTAACAGACTGTTACAGTGGATAATTTGGATAACCTCCCGTGCCTAATAGTTTTCATTCAGCTCTCGCTAACAATATTTTAAATTTGCCCCATCCATTACAATTTTTGTTTTTAAGGGCTGCTGAAATCTCCTGATGGTTCTGCATTAACAATTAAGTAGCAAAGCCTTTTTTTTTTTTTTTTTTTTTTTTTTCAGATCATTTCAAGTGCCAGACAGGGTTGTTGTCCACAGACAAGAGTCGTTTTAGCTTGACAGGGCACTAGATATGTTGAATCTGTTGTCAAACAAACAGACCACATTAATCTTGGCACAACAGGAAAAAAAATCAATGTTCTCCAAATGGAAAAGGGCAAGCCGGTAGGGAACTCAGTGTTATTTTCAGCTTTTTAACAGGTTATTTCAAGTAGAAGAGAGTGTTTGAAAAAAATTAAACTATTCTTAAAACCCACCATCCATTGGTGACCTCTCCTTAATGTCACAACACAAGAAGGGAATGACTGTTTACCCAAAGAAAGTGTGCTGAATGGAGGTAATAATCCCTCATGGACTATTCAGCCAGTCTTGTTACTGGAGCAATGAATTCCTATTCGGAGAAGTAAGGCCTCTGTGCCTAAGGGTTAGGTTACTAGAGCAAGCAGTAATTTCTTTTGGATTCCCCATCCTCCTTTGGGGCAGACCCTGCCATCCGTGGTGAAATGTGGTTGCCAGAGTGAGCTCGTGCAGGCGCTGGGTGGAGGCTGGCTCAGATGTTCGCTGAGCTGCATGCCAAGTGCTCTATCCTCAGCGACATAAACAGTCATGGCTCCATTAAGCCCAGTTTGCCCCAGCTGAGGACAGAGGCGCGGATCTAACGCAGCCTGCTCTGCCTGCAGGAGAAGGGTAGCAAAGGGAAATGAGGCTTTACAGCAAATAAGTTCTCCTTTAATCCTGAAAAGAGAGGCACCATTTGAAAGAGTGCGTTTGTCTGTATTCTGATTTAAAAGTGGGTAAGATAAGGCCCCAGGCTTTCTTTTGGTTAAGAGAGAGGGAATATTCTTCTTTGTGATCCTTGTTTATTTGTATGTTGTGTAGTCTTACGTATACACACACATAAACACATGCACACTTGCATAAACACGGCACACAGCTGATGTGTTCCGGGTAGGTGTAGTATACTTGAGTGGTGGAGATAATGCATGAATAGATGAAAAAAAAAGGCCATGATCATCACTTGGAGTGAGGGGATGGGTTATAGAGGTGCTGCAGCTTTCTTCTTGCTCTGAATGCCTGTGAAGCCAGCAGAGATCTCCTTCTTTACCCCAAAAATTTTGGAGGCTATCTTGCTCTATGTGAAAAATATCTAGTGTTCAGAGTGGTGGGGATGATCTTACACCAAGATTTCAAAAAAAAAAAAAAAAAACGGCATCCCACAGCATGAAAATATATTCC